CGCTCGACGGTAATTTTGGAGGAAAAAAGTGGGCGGAGTTTGGGCTGTGTCGACTGGTCTCAGAATCGAATACTATAGAATGAGCCCCATGATGGCGATGGCAGGCGAGGGTGGTGAAGGGTTGACCCTGAGGGGGGGGGGGGTCGTATCGAGGCCCTCTAGAAGGGGGAGGGGGTCGTAAAATTTTCGAAATCGGTCCAACGTGACGGTTGACCCTGCTCCCATGGGAACAGTTTTTCGTGTCACCAAGCTCAACGTGTTAAGCCACACAAAAGCGCGTTGGGCCTAACGTGTTCAACAACTGGTTTTTAAACTTGTTTCTCCAAGTTAACTGGCGAAATTTCTTTCGGGCTTTTCCCCTGCTACGACTCGTTACCACCCGGACTGTTATCGATTATCGATTATTCCTTGGGTGGCTTTTTCTTTGAGATTCTCCCGTTATTGCTAAGCAACGCTGTCGACGCCGCGGCCGTTCTCGTTACTTTGCCCATGTGTGCTGTACTTCTTGCCGTTGTCCCCCGTCCATCATCGAGAAAACACTTCAAATTCGTTTCCTTTCTGTTTTTGCCCCTTAATCTATTCGGGTCCGTCGTGCCAAGGTGCTTACGCACTTTGGGCCATGAGGTTTCTGTGTTTTGTGTGTGTGTCGCGTGCTCGTGTCCTCTCCTCCCACGGCTGGCGCTGGCCACGCCCCATTCGATTCTCACTAGCGCCTTGGCCGTCCTGCGAATAACACCGACGAGTGCCTGCGTGTCGGTGTTCGTTTTTTCCTAATAAGAACTCACGATTTCACTCTGAAAACCCTTATTCGGTACTTGCTAGTACATTGGAGTAGACAGCTGATCAGTTTCTTTTCTTTCCGGCAGCATTTTTGGCGAATATGGTGGAGTCACTTACTAATTTGGGCGCTATCACAAGATACGGGGCATTGTGTCGTTAGGAGGACATTGAGGTGTGTGAGCCACTTCCCGAACTTGGTGCTAAGCCTCAGGGAGAGGAACAGGTTCTGTGAGAAGACCTGAGCCATCTTTGTTCTCCCAGACACTTCCCCTCTCTCCTGAGCTTGGTCCTAGTGTCACCCACTAGCGGTTTCCAAGTGCTTTTTTCTGAATGTCCCCCTTAAGGTCAAGAGCGCTTGGTAATGCGTGTAAATCCACGTGAGGACATCCCCTCTATTGGAAACGGGTCCAGGCCTCAGGGGGAGGGCGGAGAAGAGACTGCAAAGAGCGTGACATTTTTGATGATGCCTAGAGTTTCTGCTCTCCTGCTCCTCCCACGCTCAGCTCTGGAGGATGGCGGGCTGGGGGATCTTGCGATAGCGTCTCACCTTGCATATCGTTTCTTGAGACAGTCTTTTTTCGAGTTGGAGCATCACTCCGCCTGCAGTATTGCAATTGTAAAAAATAGTACATCGATTGTTCTGACGCACTGTGTGAAGGGCCAGAAATGCTGGACGCAAAAATGGGGAAAAGGGTCAGGAGATGCGCGGCGTTCAGCTGAGGCAGATGTGGCCATGGTCAACTTTGCATTGCGCCGTTCTCAACAAGGGGAGGGGAGGGCCAGATTTGAGTCCTCGGAGCGAAGTGGTCGTATTAGGGGATTCCTCGACTGCCCCATAAAACTCATGCTATTGTGGAGGGGTTCGTATGAAAGCCCCCCCCTATAGAAGAGCAGGTGGGCGGTTGAATTTTTGGGAATTGAAAAGCACGACGCTGACCCTGGTTGTAGCTCCAGGGCTAAACGATGGAAGGAGACGAAGGGGCAGGTAAGCGGCCGTCGTGATTTTCGATGGCCTTGATGCTTCTGAATTTTCTGTGACACCAGGCTGTCGACACGGTCCACAGGGCTCTCATACTATATTTACTATGTGCAGTATATTATTTGTATTTGGAAGCCGCAGCAAATTTATTTTAAGTATTAACTTTCAAATTGGATTTGTAGAATCGTTGTGAAGCTCCGTGATGTTTATTGCAAGGCTAGAAATTTCTCTAAAGTGTCATTTACGTTTACGTCAACATTTACAAGCCTTTCGACAAGCTTTTGCTCCTAACGCATTTGCCATCTGTTCTTGTAATTGGTTCATTCACTGAGAAATAAATGAAAATGAAAATAATAGTAAAAAAATACTGGGTGACGCAAGAGCCGGGAGCCTGAATAGTTGTTTGCGCCTATCCTAACAGATCTGTTCAGAGAGCAAAATGATGACAGCCCTAATTAGCTTCATCTATGTAGGCGTATTTTAATGATTACCCTAGACTCTTCTTATCCCTTATTAAGTGTTTATGGCACTAATTACAGACAAGGTCCCTTATACGGGGGGCACTCCATGCACGCAAATTTTATAAAATTCCTAATAATATCCACTTAAACTCGGCTATATGGCCTTCAGTTACGATTAATAGCCCAGGCCTACGTGAGTTATCTGACTTGTCCTAAAAGTGAACTCTACTGAGGAAGCCATAAATTTTTTCCTCGTGTGGAAAATCCTCTGGAAACCCTCTGATGCTGCATTTATTACAAGCAGCGAATGTTACGCGGCTTTCTCGTTCACATCCGGTTCACCTTTACTTTCGCAAGAACAAATTTGTTAAAAAAAGCCGGAGGCTATTATGTAGTAGATACGGTGGGCGCAGAGGAAACTGGTCCCAACTAACTTGTTTCATTTTTTTTTGGACGGGCAAAAGAAGAGCAGAAACTCCGCTCTAGCACGCCTCTCACCCGTGCCTACCGTGGCCACGATTCATTCAGCTTATTACTTGTTCTTTAAGTTTCTATATGTTATAAGTTCTTATCGATTGATTCTGGAATGGAATTCCTAATAAGTTTTTATTTACTGGTTAACAGTTATTGGTGAGGTGTTCAGTGCTGATATTGACCGCACGATGGAAACACTTGTAGGCGTTATCTATTCCTCCCTCCAAAACCCGCCACAAGCTGGGGCGCGCGGTAATTTTAATGCACAGTGGGGTGTAGTGAGCCGGTGGGAACTTTTGCTAGTTCAGAGAAGCCATTAAGGCCTAAAGATACCACAGGCATGTGAAATCCTCAAATATCGGCTCCATACTGCTTGAAAGCACTCGTTCATGGAAACTCTATAAGCACGTCGCTGCAGTGACGTACAAAAACAAGGATTGAAGAGGAACGTACTTAAAGGCACTGGTCGGATCAAATTGTGTTGTGTAGTGTTGTTTAAAAATTGGACAAGAAGTGCAACGAGGAACATTAATGGGGAGAAAAGGCAAAAAGCGCCGTAGAAACAGTGAAATCTCCCTTGTGATGTCTGCCTGTCTGGGAGAGACACACAGCGCCGCAGGAGGGGGAGAACGCGAGAGAGAGCACTTTGTACGCAAGAGGGTGCAAACGCCATGCACGCTACATTTGATAACGACTAGGTAGCTGCTCGGCCAGAGAAACGAGCAATGTCCTTGGCGACCTTGCTGCGCACTTTTAAGTGGGGATAGCGTCGCGCCTCCTGTGGCCCTCATTCTCAATCAAGGCTCTTGGTACCCGATCTCAACCTGTGGCTTTGAAGGAAAGAAGGTTGAAGCGGAAAAGCGCACGCAAATTATTGCCCATAATTTCGGGAACGCGATTGCATTGAAGGAATGCGTGCACTCCAACAAATCAGTGTACAAATGGAGCGCTTCCACGTCGTCGTGTTGTGACGTGACTCAGTTGATGTAGGCTCTTCTTAGAGCTTAGTGTGGTGCCTAGGCCTTATGCCTAACATGTGAACTGGGGTTTGAGGAGAGGAATTCGGACTTCTCACGTGAAACTTTATGCATGACCTCCTGCAATCGCAATGAGCTCTCTGAGAACTGACAAAAGAAATGCTCCAGCATTGTTGTAGATGTCTGTAAATCTCAAATCAGTTGGCGTCGTAATACTAAAATAAGCTTATGTTGACTAATAATACTAAAGTACATAATTTCTTAAAGTAATAAGCCGAGTGATAAGCAATAGTAAGCTCAACAACATCAATAACAAAAATTGCCTCATCTATGCCATCTATCTCTTCAAGCGATTGGGCCGAATTCTAGTTTCTACATGTTTTTATTACTCTTTAAAATTCTTTATAATTTTTTTAATAATAGTTGCATGAAGCTATGCTACATATTTACGACAAAAATGCTGGATTATGGGCAAACTCTCCGCTCCAGGCGGGAATCGAACCGCACGTCTTGCTCTCCCGACGTTGTGCTACCGATTACACCACCGGGACACGGTAGCGGCAGTGTTACATAGTGATTTGGCGTTTAGTACGACATTTCACAGTACGAAAATTTTTTTAGAGGTCAAAAGTAGGATGGTTTAAAAAATTTTCGACGTACTGAGATATTTTTGCAAGTATTATGTTAATCTTTGATTTTTTCGCAATGTAGCATAATTTTTTGAAAATCGCGGTTCCTGCTGCTGCCCTCAGTTTGGGAACTCAATGCGAGGTTGGCGCGCATGCTTTTTTTTTTCCGCCTGCCTGCGTTAAGCGCGATTTTTTTCTTAAACTGTGTGCACCAAGTAGTTTTAGGAACGTTTCTCTTGTGCAATAATGGATAATTTTTCTTTGTCCTCCATATCTTTGAATCTCTATGCATAGCGTATGAATCCGTGGACGCGCATTATTATTATTATTATTATTATTATTATTATTATTATTATTATTATTATTATTATTATTATTATTATTATTATTATTATTATTATTATTATTATTATTATTATTATTATTATTATTATTATTATTATTATTATTATTATTATTATTATATAATATCTGCATTCGTACAAGGTCATAAAGTCCATCAGGCAGGTGTCAGACTTTGCGAACCGAGCGACCCGCTAGTATCGAATCGAGCAAATCAAGCGAATCTCTAGCGATTCGCTCGATTCGCCAAGTCTGAAGCCGTCACCCGTCTCTTGCTATGATTGATTTGAATTGAATGTGTTCTACGGGACCACTATAGAATGGCTTAATTTCCTCCTTCTATTTTCACCTAATCATATTACCGTTGGCAGACGCCGATCAGGGCTGCGCGGTCATGCGTTCCCGCCGCTGTTGGGTTAGAATATCTTTGTCAGGGTAGGATAGTGTATGCGATTGGTTTTTCAACAAGCCATTCTTGATATTTCTTTGTCGTACATTTTGAACTTGTAATTTTTTCGATTATGAGAATTTTTATTTCGGTTCGTTTTCTTTACAATAAGGTTTCAGATTTCCTCGTAGTCCTGGCTCCAAAATATCGCCACTGGTTCTTTCCTAGGATGAAAGTGCTCGAGTCGTCAAATAAGGACAACCAGACGCAAAAGACAAAAACGTTTCAGGTTCGTTGTTGTTCTTATCCTCTTTCTCGTCCAGAGACACCAGAGATGCAGATACCTTTGCCAAACATATAGCATTGACTCGCGATGAGCCATAGGTGATCTACTATGGGTTGTAATGTTTACTGCGACACGACGAGAGGAGCCCTCGAAGGAGACCGTTTATACCATTCTCCCGATCATCCTCGGATGTCCATGCGCCATGCTTTCACTCTGGCTTCAGGCGATGATATCTTAGCCACTGATACTCTTATACCAGTGTATTCTGCCCCGAAAGTGGTCTGTCAAGGGATTGCGAGCATAAGAAACAAGGAACAGTTTGGTTCAGAAGCGATTTTTGAACCGTTCAAGTGCAGCACTCTCCAGGCATGAATTCCTCACACAGGAAGGAAATTATGACCATAAACCCTCCACAGTCGAATTCGTCCTTTCCGAACTACATTCATCAGCGGCGCATATGCAACGAATGCGACAGAACCCGATGAGAGCCGTCCTACTCTGCGTCTCTGACCAGGCTGTACTCAGCACTCTACCCGTCTACACTCTGACCAAGACATTCGCACGCCACTTGCTAGGCAACCGTGATTCTCGTCGGGGGCGGTTTCCTATGGCGATATCAGTGGCCTTCGATTTATGAATATTTTAGAAGGACCAGAGTTCTAACTTACAGTAGCGGTCAAAAGTGCTGTCCGCCGAAATGATTTTAGTGCATTATTTCGTCTCGCTTGAGCAACACCCTCCAAAAATTGGCATAGTTATATTTTCTACTGTTTTTATATCGGGTCTCATCCAGTAAGGGGGGCATTGTGATGCAACGTCAAGTGGCTGCCCTCACCCCCACCCCCCCTAGACTGCCTTCACTCCCCCTGGCTCACGGGGTCCCGTACTTCGAGAAACCTGTGCGCCAGGGGGAGTGTAGGCAGTCTAGGGGGTGGGGGTGAGGGCAGCCACTTGATGCCCCCCTTACTGGATGAGACCCTTTATATCTTCGAGCTTTGAAGAATCGTTGTTCATTTCTGGCAAAAAAATAGTGAAGCACGGAAAACCGTTCCGGCGAACGCTTTTGACTCTGATTTACTGAATCCCACAAGAATTTCCAGAAAAGAATTGAACGAGTAGTTCACGCCACGCATTCTTCTTCCACCCAGATTCGTGGTTACACTTAAGTGCGGTAAGGTCTGCGCAGTGACCTGCGGGGCTAGAATTTTCGCGAGTAAGGGTTTCTATCAAATGGGTCTAGTGAAAATAAACCTGCCTTGTAGAGAAGGAAGGCTTAGTTGCTTGTGCGGGAGTCGACCTAGGATTCGATTCCCAGTCGTGGTGTCATCCATTTTCCACTTCTCCAACTCTGCCTACTTCGCTTCAGGAAATATTTATAGACTTTTGTTTTGATTTACCTTTTAGGAAGTATTCAGTACCCACCGAACTTGTTTAGTGGACGGATGATTGCTCGATGCTTGTCTACCCTTGTAAGTGGACGGGGTATTCCGAAGCCTAGACTATTCTGGGAATTGAATAGGAATGGGGCCAGGCGTTTTTGAAGTAGAGGAGAGTGGAAGATGTGTATTCTGGAAGGTGTTAGCTTTGACAGATCCCCGCACATATTGCATTGGCTAGATGAGCATTCAAATATCTCCACAATTCTGAACGAAAACTGTGGATATGGCGCGTCTCATGGTCCACTTCCTCATCTGGTGTTGGTCGGTTTAGGGATCTGAGCAACTGTAAGCAGCTGGGGGTATCACGAACATTTTTCGAGTTAATAACTTATTGCATAGCAGTAGATGTCAGTGAAGTCAAAATACGGTAATCCATTTTGGGTAAGATATAAGGAAGACTACGGTATATGAGATTTTGTTCAAAATCGAAAGTAATTGCTGTCGAAATGGCTAATATGACGTCAAACTGCACATTTTTCAGCACTATTTGCCCGAAGGCGATCGATGCTATAGCTGTGTGCATTGCCGAGCGAATTTAGCCAGTCACAATGATCTTATATCCAAAGTAAGTGACGTCATTTTCGATCAGCAGTTCAAGTATCTCTGAAGTAAGTAATATGAGAAATTGAGTAATATATATTCATGTTCACAGTTATTGATTTTCAGTCATTCCAAGGCAGTCAAGGCAAAGCGTATCTTTTCAATTCAGTGTGAGTTTTACTAAGATTTTTATTCAATTTTTTTTAAATTTTAGCATCTGATCTTATAGAAAAATTGAAATGTTCTGTTCTAAACTTCAACGAACGATTTATACGTTTATATATACAACATGAATAGTATTCCTTGGGGCCACTCAAATTCGGAACCGTAGTTTTGACTTTCACGAATTAGTTTTCAGAACTGCGGCCAAAAAAGGCCATGCCAAAATTTAAATATGACTTCGGGGCTCCAATTTCAGAGTTTCGCTGTTGATGTCGGTCAAAAGGACCATTGCGCTAGAAAGCTGATAAACTGTGGTAAATGTTCCGACGAAATTTTGGGGTACATCGGAGGGATGTCCTGCTTCTGCAATCGGTGGCATAGCTGCCCACAGAGTGAAAGGTGTGTTGATTTGATCCTTGCTTGTGGTCAAGAGTTGGGCTCACTACTCGCGCATTTGTCATAATTCTCAAGGTGGAGTTTTCAGAATTTCCTTTCATAGATAAATTATGAATTGTTGGGTAACGCTCTTGGTCATATTTGAGAAAACCACTGGCCATGAGAACAGGGCTGAGATCTCCACAAAGACAGAGTAACAGTGCGATTTCATAAGGGATAAGACAAACGGTCAGACGTGAGGTTGTCTGTTTCTTTGGATTCCGAGCAGTACGACCTCCTCCTTAATACTCATGGATAACGGCGTATATACGGTAATGCCAAAAGTGTGTCAGCTTCGGAGGGATGGTTAGGAGTATTGTTGCTGTTGAAAAAACAAATATTATAATCTACATATTAATAATGTATTGCCAATTTTTTCCAACATCCTTCTAAATTTTACTACAAACTCGAAAAAAACCCTCCTAGCATATGCTCTATATAAAGGAGATAGCTGGTAGATACAGGAGAAAACTCTGATTAATTTAGCCGAAGAATCTAGGTTTTCAAGCGTTTCCTTCTATCAGGGAGGAAACATAGCAAGTCAGGTCCCTGTTTGCGCTTGATTCTCGTTTAAGGGCCCATCAGTCTTTCTCCCTACTAAAAGTTGAAGTCCCGGGTCATTCTAATACATGAACAAATACTTGAATTGACCTAGAGTATCACCCTATTCTTCTTTCCAGTATCAAAGGATACCCAGACTTAAATCCACTCTTTGAACCTGCCATCAATTTTGTAAAAACGAATCCTGGAGAAGTTGCGAGATTTGGTGATCGGTCGCTTTCCATCCCAGCTGATTGATTCGAAGTCCTTTCGCGTATTTTTTTCTAGTCAAATATCTGATTTGGACTAATTTCTAAATTGACTGATTTCTATCGCTACCGATTTCCGTTTTCCGGAAAAAAGCTCTCTTAAGGCAAAGATTTCATAAAATCATATTTACTTCTTTTATCTTCTTTTTTTCTAGTTTTACATTTTGCTATTAAAACTAATTTTCTTCTTTGTAAAGTGTAAATATCGGTACCGGTCCGGCCGAGGAGCGGGTTCTGCTCACCGGATTGCACGCCGTTGCTGATATCTATTGCCAATGTTGTAAGACAACCCTCGGCTGGAAATATGTGAGTTTTTCCATATAATGGATCGATTACTTCAGTAAAATTTGTATTTTGTTTTTTCTATCATATTTTGTTCTTTTCAAAATTATTTAAATTCATAGTTCCGCCGTGGTACAGGCATCCAAAAATAGAAATTGACGAACGTTTTCAATTCTCTGCTTCAATTTCCTGCTTTTGCAAAGAGTCAGAGCTATGCAGCCTGTCAGAGCTTGCATGGCTTACTAGTTAATTGGCCGTTTTGTTATTTTCTCGGAATAAATTGAATTTGCGCTAGAAGTGCTTGATTAGTCGGTCACCGTCGCCTCAGCTCATCAACGTCGTGGCCACGGAGAATTGTGAGACTCGAATTAGCCTCGCCTCGCTCCGCCTCGTTCTGGCTAGTCGATATGCTTTCGTGGAAAGGAAAGCAGAAGGGGGATGAAGTGACAGAGGAACGGGACCGGTACATGCTGACACCTGGCTGAAGAGCCATCGAAGAAAAGCAAACCTCATTGCACAGCTTATTTACCGGTAAAGGGAACTGGTTACACGGTTCTAGAGGACTGGCCGTAAAAAGCTGTCACGTCCCGTAAAAAGACGGTGAAGTGTGTTTGCTTAGACATTCTATTGCGACATGCATAGCTGTGAAATTCCAAGAGGAGTGCAGATGGAAATAAAAATAAAGTATCGATCGAAGCGAAGTAGGGGAAACACTAATGAGGCAGCGGAGAAAAACGGGAATAAATGAAGACTGGGAAGGCATGGATACTGTAGGCGAATATCCATTACTTTTTTTCGCAACCATATTTCAGCATTATTTAACTAGCTTCGGCTTGGATGGTTTATCAGAAACGAATGAATGCATAACCGTTAAAACCGGAGAGCCATGGTTGAGATCTTCATCCCCAGATTTGTCTTCAGAGGGCTACCGATGCTGAGCCGGGCACGTTGCCTATTACCGAGGAAGTTATCACTCCTGCCTTATCGCTACTTTACCTCAGCTTCAATCAGAATCCATTAATTTTCGGAGACCAGGGTTTTCGTTTTGAAAAAAAATTCGGAGTTCTTCATCTGAACGCTATGCCCATTCCACGATAGCCTAAGTTATTTGAATCGCTACCGCTTCTCCAGTGGTGCAATACTCCTTCCTGCCCATTTTGGAAGGAGATCCATTGATAAGAAGACTGCAGAGGTCCAACAGCCCTGTTAGCCCTTGAGCGATGTCCTGAAATTGAAGATGAGTAGAGGTTCATCGCCCTCTTATCTCCCCCCCCCTTCCCCGTCTCACCAGTGCAAACATTGGAGTAGAAGGTGCACATGCAGAGAGCGAAGAGTGAAGAGTGAGTGAGTATTGTCAAATTACGGAGCATAAAACGCATTGATCAATCCGAACCTTCGGATTGCGCCGCGCTCCCTCAGAAGCTTGGGTTGACAATCGATTTCACCTAGCGTCAGTTGCAAGTGGCAATGGCAGTTCGGAGGCACTCCTTGCGTCTTCTCCTCAGTCTGGAGAGCGCCTCCCTGCGAGGCTTCGTAGCCCACTGAGGCATAATGTTACGAGACACTTCATGCGAAGCGGACTTTTGATAAGGATTTGTGAATGTTCAACATTCCAATCCTGCCCACATCCTCTCCTTTTCTCCTCCAACTCATCCACCCTGGAGCTCCTCCCATCACGCCGAGCAAGTTCATTTCCTGGTTCTGGTCCGTTCGCTGGACCATTGCAGGCAAATTAAAGGAGCACCAAGGGTTACTTTCTGCATATGCACCCCGGACTTTCAGGAATTATGCTTGTTGAATGCGTTTACTTGTATAGCGGTCTATTCTTATCCAAGTATGTAGATGGCTCCCTTACCGGATTTCACCGTATTCATAGCCAGTGTTGGGGATTCAGGGTCTCATTCTCCTAGCCGGGTTTGGTGCATAATGATCAATCAACCTTGAAGGGATAAAGGCTTCATTGGTCTGGCCGATTCGGAATTTGATCCCGGGCTATGCACACAGTTGCTGCTATGCCAGCTTCACCCTGATACCAAAAGACATTAGTAGTGGGCGCCATTAGGATACATTCAAAACCGCAGTCTCTTTCCAACACTATTGCGCTAATGTGTGAACTACGAATTCATCAGTAATTCATCTAAGACCTTTTAACCGGGAGTTACGCCTCGCTCTACAGCTGTCCTCCATCTTGCCACCATGCTTTCAAATATGGTAGGGAATGTGAATTTAGTTCGGTTCCAATTCATTTTATGATGTCTCTCAACGATTCGGGTTTCAAACCAAACAGAGTCTATTACCAGTCTTTGAGACGATCTGTCATGTGAAGCTTCCATGGTTATTTTTGTCTGACACATAGGTCAAGCCAGAGCTTCAAGAATTCATGTGTTTCCGCTGCCAGCTGTCACTGAATGACACTCCCATTGAATGGAACCTCGACATGACAAGCGCCCTTTTTTGGGATATGTTTGACTCCAAGGCTATCTTAAGCTCCAGCGGCACATGAATTGAAAACACGTTCCCCATGTGGTTGTGATCAGCTCGGCTTTGTTTAATTCTGAAAGTGCAAAGCCGTATCGAGCTCTCTGCCTGTACTTCTTTCAATTTAATTAGCGTGATGAAGGAACGCTTCTTTGTCAGCGTACCGATGGGAAATGTGTTTTCAGTGGTGTCTCGTGATGTGCATGAGAAAGGGGTTAAGTGCAAAGTGGCACGCAAAGGAGAACCAATTGGCTCTCAACTCCCAGTAGTTTCATTTTTTTCGCCTCTGAGCTATTTTTGGGTTTTCCTAGGAGAAGTGCATTGTCCGCTGTTTGAACGCTCGAGCTAATATATTCTTTTGTGAAATACGCCATGTTGCTTGGCTGGAGGCGCCTCGAACAGAATTGGCATCAGAGGTACCCTAAGTAAAAGAGATAGAGGGAAAGCTAGGAAAGAGGACGAAGGCGGCGTTTCTTCGCCGAAAAGGTTGTCGAGTAACAATTTATATCAGCGTCGAAGTGTTGAATATTGGATTCTCAAAAGCGCAAAATTTGAAATTTTCCACGACAACCACCAATCAGAAATGCCACTTGCCTTTTTACACACATCTCGAAAAGGCATTCGAATGTGAAAATGACTGAATTGTTTATAAGCCCCATCTTTTGAACTATTTGACAGTGGCAATACCTTCTACGTCTGAGCCGACTTAATTCGCGTGAGAGATGGGCAAATTGCGCCGCGCAAATCTTGGAAGAAGCTTGAATTGGACAATGTCGTCAGTTTTAGGTGTCCGAAAACCGGTGGTTTAACTGAATTTCATCCATGAATAGGTTGGAGATAGCAAAGATAAAATTTGACTCATTCCCACGGCATGAATATGCGTGACAAGAGCGAAAGGGCGTTGTAACTTGTTATGATAACCGACGGTGACTGGCGGTCCTCGCGACGCCATGTCTATGCGGCAAGATGTCTGCGTCTCGCTTGTCCGCTATGCTCTCTCATCTCCCAGCTTGCAACCTCGACGGCCAGTATCGCTTTAATTGTTTTAAACTGCCTTTTTCGCCATCTACCGTTCCCCTTCGGCAAAGAAGGCCTCCATTCTTAGTATATAGACGGTTCCTTATCCTTTTTTCGTCACCGGAGGCCAGCTTCTCGCCTCCGTTTTTATTTGTAATGAGCATGGTCAGACTTAGAGATGGTGAAAGGTGTCGGTAGGCTGCAAACAAGGCAACCCGGTCCAGTAGGAACTAGAAAAGAGCGCAGCAGACGTCATGTGCGATCTGTGACATATATTTTGTGGAACATCTTTTTATCTTTTGGTAGGTCTGCCCGTGGTTACGGCCAGTTGGTCACAAATCAGTATGTAAGGAGGCGATACATTGGAACAGATCAGCTTAGCCAGCGTTACCTCTTTCTGAAATCTGGGAGTTGCTAGAATCTGTTGCATGACTGAATTCTATGGAAAAAGGAGTCTCAGTGCAGTTCCGGTTCGAACGTGGGTGTCCGTCGTGATATTCCCGGCGGGATTCGCAAGCCAAGGAATGCGTCTCTGGATACCGTGAACGCTGCCCAGTTCAGCCAAACATCATTAGACGCCACTTAGCCGATAGCTCTCCCCCGCCACTCAGGACTACATCCGCGAATGGCGGCGTTCCCGAAAACACGGGCTATTTTGTCGGTGAGATCCCGTTCTCGGACAAACAAGAGGGTTCTTATATATTCATAGCACGCGTCAAGAGGTGATTGTTGCGGGCTATATTTGGCTGTATGCTGTTTTTATTCTTCACATGTTGTCTGAATGGCTACGTAAAACATCCGGTCATATGAGCTTTCTGTGGACTGAACACTGCATAGGAAATGCCGTTCTTGTCTAATACAAACATCACGACACGAAAAACATGAAGTGCAACCGCTTCCGTAACCGGCACGCTTCATCACATGTGCTCCTGAGCTGGCCAATCCATTAGTGGGACGAGCTCACAAAGTTCTCGTCAGCTGACAAGTGTAAAGGGAGAAAAACAGCGCGATTTAGATCAGGGTGCTGTCTCTGCGGGCTGATTTGAGAGCTGTCCACAACACTTCTCAGTTGCTCATCGTGGCATGCAGAAACTGGGGAATACATCCATAGTAACACAGCAAGGGTAAAAAGTCAATCTTCTTTTCTCGAGTCATTCTCTTACCCAAATGCCATGAGCAAGGCTAAGGTAGATAATTAACCAAATTAAAATTTATGTAAGTTTAATACAAATTTAGCTATGACTAAGTCGGAGCCGGCAAGGAAGGCTTTTCGATCATGATCTGATTTTTCAAAGCGGTTTCTTGCCTCCTATAAAGACACGTGCACGGTACCTCAAAATGGTTTTTTCTGAACAATCCTCTCCCCTCTTTAATGCCAGACGAAAGTAAGTCCATGGATCGTTTCCCCGTGATGAAATATTTTACATTTCCGAATCCACTTACCGCAAGGACCATCGATAACCCATATGAAATTTTTTTAGCAAAAACTGCAAAAAGGTGTGGCGCCTCAACTTTCTTAACCCCTTTTTGACATTAAAGGGCCGCGAAAAAAAAAACACGGTTCTGTGCCATTTGCCGGTATATCACGAAAAAAGTGTTTTCAAAAAGTGGGGACTGCCTCAATGACATTCTTGGTGAGTAATAATGGACACACAGC